GGGGAACCGTTGGAGGGGAGGGAGAATGGTAGGTTGGCAGAACTGCGGGCGCCTGGAGTAGCGGCTGCTGATGCGGCGTGGGGCTCGGCTTAGTGAGGCGTGATCTTAGGCCCTCATAATGCGCGTCTAGGTCGACGTGGCGGTTGATGCTGTCCGCGTTAGAGTGCCATGCCTCTAGGAATTCTCTCGCCCGTTTTGTGTTGGCCGTGGCGATGACCTCGGTGTTATCCCAATTAAAACGGTGGTCGCACTGGAGTGCGTGTGCAAAGACGAGGGACAGTGGATCACGCGCCAGGGATCGAACGCTAATTAATGCTTCCTAAATACACCAACTAGCGGTAAACTACTTTAAGGATTAATTTGAAGTCTCCTTGAGGTTTCAAGAAACGCAGTGACGTACTAACAGGACGAGTGTTGAATAGTGTGAACGAGGTGAATAAGCGCTTAGACATATAACTTGAAAGATGCAATAACCTAAAGAGAAAAATTTTCTTCTGAACTTCAAGTGGAAACTTGACGCAAAAACGTGGCACAAACTTCGACTAGGTTTGGTCTTCCAGCCCCACTTGATTAGCACCATGTGGTTAGCTAACTGAAGCAATTTTAGTTAACATAGCCAAATTAGCCACACGCTGGACTAAGTGCATTTCACGCTTTGACAATGGAGAGCCGACCAAGCTCTTCGAAATTTCAGCATCTAACTAAACCCGTTCCTACAAGCCCATCTTTTTCTTCAAATCGTCAACCCGCATCTCTCAATTTTGTCAATCTGGAGAGGATTAGTACAGGTACTGGCACCCTCTACCATATATAAAGAATGTGTCTGAAGCGACGGAACGTACCACTGGAGAGCCCGGCGTGGGTATCGCTCACCGTCCGACAGCGACCACGCGCAACAAAAGCATGCAAATGAAGGACAGACAAGACGTGGGAAAACAATCGGGTGTTGTTTATCAGATCCCATACCGGGACTGACCTTGCCAATACACAGGACAGACCGGACGACGGCTTAGCTCGCGAATAACCGAGCATAAACGGGTAGTTCGGGGGAGGCTACCTGCTGTCTCAGGTCGCCAATCACACCCTGGAAATCAACTCGTTCCGGCCAGCCCACCCTTTTCTTCGTATCATCAACCCGGATATATCAACATTGGGATTACACGCAGAATTGGAAACACGCACAGGGAAGCGCGTGTGAACCGATGATTGGTGTAACCGAAGGTGGCGTATACCCGCCCCCCGAAACAGAGCCACTCTCTGGATTAAGAGGATAAGGAGGGCGCAATCACATCTAGAAAACCACAGAGGGAACCACGTGTGAATTCGCGCTACATGTCCAATAGAGTGGAACCGACGGAGTTTCACACCGTCCGAAAAATGAAATTAGCAAAGAAACTTAGCTGGATTAGGATAATAAAGAGTGGTCGCAAGCAGGGCTCGAAGCAGGCGCAGGGAAGCGCGTGTGAATTGATACCTGATGTAACTGAAGCTGGTGTGTATGCCCCACCCCCTCCGAGGTAGTTACTCGCTTGATTAAAATAGTAAGGAAAGCGCAAACATGTGCTGTATGCAAAGTCAGCGTAATCACACCTACTAAAATTGTTTGGCTATATCGCAGTTGGTAGCCAGGACCCGTATTACAGGTGGCAGGGGGTTTGTTTACTGGAGCTATTTTGTGGGGCTCCATCTTTACATCTGACCAATTTGGCCTCCGTTTTACGTTTGAGGTTAGGATTGGGATATCGGTTAATGGTTTCCCATTTTCGGGTTGGGGTTATGCTTTTACGCTTAGGTCTTCGGGCTACGGTTAGGGTTTGAGCGTACGATTAGATTCCAGTATTATGGTTAGGTTTCCCAGTTACGGCAATGTCTAAGGGCTACGGTTACGCTTACGACTTCGGATAGGGTTGGGTTGTCGTTAAGGTTAACGGTTACAGTTTAAGGTTGAGATTAAGGATAGGGTTAGGGTTAAGGTTAGGATTAGTGTTAAAGTGTCCGTCCGCTTACCCATTCCGGGCTACCAACTGCGGTCTAGCCAATTGTCTTACTTGACTAACCGTGCGATACCAATTAGGCGAGGCTGCAGAACCAAACCTCGCTCAAACTTATGGGTTCTTTACCGACATGTATGCAAGGACACGTGGGTCAACTGCAGTGGAAACTTAGCTTAATTGAGGTGTAATGTCTACACCTGAAGACTAAGAAGCACCATGTGCCTCAAGCAGAAAGTAGTCCCAACACGCACCAAAAATCGATACTCGCAAAATGCGTGACTTCCCATCTGACCTCCAGGGTGTACTCCAGTTGTAAAAATGCAGGTTATAAGTCCTTTTGAGATTGGTGGGCGAAGTTGCAATAGGGTTCCTTGGAAATGACTTCGCATGTTTGGACAGTTTTGACAATCGTATAAAAAATTACAGCCCTAACACTAAATGGAATACGGATCAGAAATAACTTATGTTACGGCGGTTCACGTCCGTTTCATTTGCAGATCGCACCTTAGGCACCTATCGGGATGTCCGAAGAGCCTATTGAGTGGCAAGAAACGGCACAGAGAATGGCCTCTGGCTCCACTGAAGCGGGATTACTGTCTCGGCGTTCGGACTGCAGTATGATATTATGCAAGCGAGTGCTTGTTGTTGACTTCACTGAAAGACGCGGGCTAAAAGCCAACTGAAATCACATTTTGAATGCTGTGGAGGTTCCGATCAGGCATAATTCGACTAGACTTTACGGTAACATGGAGCACCCTCACTCCCTTCAAAAGATGCGATCATTGGAACAATAAGGTTATTTGCCTCACGTCTCCTATTGTCACTCGAATCCATCATTAGAGACAATCGCAGATAAGGGTAGTGGAGGCACAAAGACTGCAGTTTATCTAGTACGTAGCTGCCGTGGGGCCACATGTGGACTATAATTAACAGCTCTCGCGATCACCTCTGACGGTCGTAACTGAGGCGATGATGAATCGTCAGTCTGTGTCTGAGTCGTTAAATGCTGCAATTTCAACATCATCCGTGTTGGATGTTGGCGTGATGACGATTCGGCCATTTGGGTCGCTGTCACTGAGATTATCGCTCGCCCGTGCCCACCCCACGCGACTAATTCCCCTCCGAAGGAATGCTTCAGCACCGAATATGGTACAGGACGTCAGTGCGTTTCCCTGTCCTTATCTGTCACCGCAGCTGATGATGGGTTCGAGGGAGAAGCCGGAACGTCAGGCTAATAAAGGTCTTGTTCCAGTGATCGCGTCCTGGTCAGATGGCAGTTTGTAGCCCAGAATGGGGAAAGCTAACATAACACTAAAACCATAAACCTAACCCTAAAACCCTAACCAAAACACCAACCCAAAAACCTAACCTTAACCTTAACCGCAAAACCTAACCCTGAAACCCCGGCCCTAACCCTAAAACATAACCCTAACCCTAAGGTCCCAAACCTAACCCTAGACCCTAGACCTAACCTTAACCCTAACCCTAGAACTTAACCCTAAAACCTAAGTCTAAAACCATAACCCTAACCCAAAACTCCGAACCGGAAACCGTAACCTAATCTTAAACCTTAAACCAAATGCTAATCTTAACCCTAAACCCTAACCCTAACCTTAACCTTAAAAACTAACCCTAACCCTAAAACTTGACCCTAAGCTGAACCCTAACCCCCACTAAGCCCAACAACCTGACCGAAACAGGCGAATTGCCTGACTCGGTAGAAACACACCTACAGATAACAAGTTTCCTCGGTAAGGATCAGATCGTCAACAGTATCAACTCATAATGTCTGGCTAGGAACTGCGATATTGCCGGCATCTTATTCTTCTTCTTCTTCGTCTTCTGAACTGTTTCCTGGAACTCGCCTGTTCGCTTCTATCGACCCTATTTTGTTGCTAACTAAATGCGATACTGTCAAGAGGTTCGAGAGAGTTACTCAGCAACTATCTAAATATTCGCAGGCATGGAGGGTGCGGTCGGATTGTGACAGCCCTTGATTCTGACTCCATATACATTTGGCGTGAGATACGGACATGAAAGTGAGACCGGTCCGTAGGGTAACGAATAAAAGATAATACCAAAGCCAGAGCCTGTAGCATAGTTCGATGCACAAGAAAAAAACCGAATGGTCGGCTTAATTCATAAATATTCTCTGGGCAACATTAATTATTAGGAAATAAGCAAATTGGAGGCATTCAGTAATGCCAACATTAACCTTACAGAGCCTAATCTGTGTATTGGTTTCTTGAGTCTACTTACGAGACACACTGGTTACTCCTGACAAATTCTACACGATAAATGAGAACCAAAAACTTCCCTGATAGGAACGAGTGCACAAAACATGTAAAACTGACTGAAATTTTATCGAATTGTTTGTCTTCAAAATCAAAAGTCGTTAGAGTTTCAACGGTTAATTCTAAAGAAGACAGACTTTACAGAAAAATAACACAAGGCATGCAATTGTTATCGGGAGTTTCAAGGAAAAGATTCAATATGTAAGTAATCGCCTGATTGAGGCTTCGAATAACTTAAACAGTTCAACAAAAGAAAAAAAATAAGCGTGAAATAGCCGGCGCGGAGTCCACAGACCACTGCGTATTAGTTAAGAAGGTATCATGATACGTGCCAGCCAACGGTAGACCCCAGACATGAAATCCATTTTACACATGATGACGACGTGAAATAGGTCAGTCAACGCATAAACACAAAAAGAAAAAGGGAGAGAGGGAACTCGAGTGGACTTGCGGTCGAACGAGGGTTCGACCAGGTCTCGAAATAAAACCCAGTAATCATGTGTTGAGCATTCTGTTTTTTACGCAAAGGCACCCACTACTGATGGGCCACGGCAGGGATCATTCACCGGACTTGACAAGGAGTACGCCCTCGGAAGTAGACCGAATCTTGTTGACGGTTTACAAGAAGCGCGGACTGTCCGAAAACACGGATATCAGAAGGCCAGACACTACGTATGGCTTAGACTACACAAGCAACAGGAAGCGGTCCAGGATGCAGGATAGGAGTATAAAAGTGGCCACGACAGACAAGAGCGATCAAATCTCAACCACGAAGACAATGCACAGCAGTACCTTCTTCTTCGTCCTCTTCGTCTGTTTCGCCATCGTAGCTGTCGGAGTTGTCTCCGCCGAGTAAGTTCGCAGTCTACACTTCGCCCTAACTAACTTCAACCTTTTTAGGGATGATGTGAGTCGAACGTTTCCTACCTTTATCACGACGCATGCCCTTTATGCAACGTTTGGAATGTGTAGGAGTTAGGAACTAGACCCCAAGTGCCTCTGAGGTGCCAAGAAGATGTCTCGGGTGAGGGAAGGGCAGAGGAGGGGGGGATGGTAGTGAGGATAATGGTGCTTATGCATAGGAGGAGTGTGTTATAGCTGAGGGCACAAGCGTTACCGCTTCAGAATCTCTAAGAGTCAGAATATCAGGCCTCAGTATCTACCACAGAGACAACGCATTAGCTGACTAGGATAGGCAAAAAGTAAATTAAGGTGTCATTAGCCAATAAATGCGAAAGAGGACAAACATGTGATGTTTTTGTGACTCAAACAGGATATGCGAAATACGATGGCCCGCAGGTTTGCAGAAGCGAGGAAATTCTTCGAGGAAGATGAACTGGGCATGAAGATGAAGGAACTCGGCAAAACACTGTCCGAAGTGACGTGGAAAAGTAAGTCTTCTTGTCGGCGCCCTTCCCGTCGTCTAACCAAAACCTTCATTTTAGTTCGACAGCATGTAAGATCGGGCCTACGAATGTACCTTCGCAAACTGATGAACGAAAAATAATGTCCGCAGGACAACGGTCCCCTCCGCATGGACTTTGCTGATGCACTGATATCGCGATTGTGGCAATAACAGTCCCCAATTCCAAACTCTCTGCACGTTCTCCTTAGTTGTGACTGAATAAAATACAATTTGTACGAGAAAAGTAAATCTGCTCATACAGAGGGCGCGTCGGCGGGCACTCGAGGGGGCCACAAGAACCGTCGACGGCATAATCAAACACTGCGGTGTGGACAGGCGCTGACTTGGCGAAATATCCAGGCCACTTTCAGTGAAATCGGGGTCAAAGCACAGTGAGGGAAAGTCGAGAACAGGACGTCTGGAGGGGACATAAAGTGGGGGGGGGGGCAGGGGGCAACGGTAGGGCGAAGGACCCCGGGCAGCTGACTGTATACTGTGAATCATGTCATACGGGAATGACGGAAATGGGTGGGGGAGGGGTGTTTACGGGTGGGGCAGCACACCGGACAGTAAGCTGACGGAACGCAGGATAACACAGATGATGGTCTGTGACAAAACCTATACTTTAGATATAAATATTGAATTTGTGCAGATACGATATCTTGCCGGATAGTCCATAGCCTCCCATCTTGAAATAATGTCTGATCATCTACCAACTGAGCCTATCCCCTGGCAGACACTTCTGTTATCCCTCAATTCAGGCTTAGTTGAGTTCCCTTTTTTGTTTCTCCGCATTTATGTACAACTAGATTTCGCAAGTCCATACATCTGCACACGATCCGCAGTCGACCGACAGTTAATTAGGGTCCTTTACCCTACCGTTGCCGAAGTGGGGTGCGTTAGAGCCTGCATGATGGGTAGGAGTGAAAGCACTCCGGCTAAACTCTTCAAGCGACACCCCCAACCAAAGTTAAGACAGAGACCTGATAGAGGTGTTGGAAAGCTACACAATATGGTCTATGCTCTGGAGCTCCTTTAATCTGGAGGAGGCTCGCAGAGGTAAGAGGCCCAAAGTGAGAAAAGGTCGCTTCTATGTAAATTTCCAAATCGAAAATCGTAAAACATTGAGGACATGCTTCGAATGCATTTCTAGTCGGACGCAGATTCTTAATGGGAGTTGATATTCAGAAGGCGTGGAAAATAATAGGAAGTTCATCCCTACACATAGAAGCAGTATATTTAAATTGACAGTCAATGCCTGGACTAAATACAACTGTGTCTTGAACGGCTCTGCGAACGGCTTGCAATCACAGGCCATACTTAGTGACATTTTCATAGAACATATGATAGGCAGAATGGTACTACTGACAAAGACAAGGGAGAATTTATGGCCTATTAGCCATCGCTAGCCAGTCATTTCTTTACTTATTAGCCGTCTTCAGTCGACCATACCAAACCCCGGGGTGCGCAACAACAGGAGCTCGTCCCCGCGACCAGTTGAGTAGAAGTCCAACGCCCCTAACCACTGAGACGCGGGTTCGTTGTCGTGTCGGCCACGATCGTGAATATACAAAGGTAGAGGGTCGCTCATGTAACAGCCTCTCGGCGTGGGCGACCGATTAAGTCAGTGGGTGGTGCGAGGCGAATTCATCTTTTTACGTCAAATAGTATAAAGCTTGAAAACGGAAAATTAACTTCTACTGGCCAATAAAAAGGTCGGACGCATTTGGAGAATTTCAGACGCAAAAAGCAGATTCGTGAGGATTAAAGCCGATAACAGTTCCAGAGAAATGTAAGCAGTGGGAGATCGGAAGGCAGTAGGAGTGTAGTAACCCTGCTCCACCTCACAGAATCTGAGGCTAACATCACTATGGCGTCGATCGACCTATTTGCTTTGGAGCTCAAACAACTCAAGGGAATTTGGTTTCCCTAAAACGCTGACCTACAGCCACACAACTGACTTTAGTCTGGATGCACGTGAGTCAATGCTCTACTTGGACACGCAACTACCTTCAGTAACTACAAGACAGGGCGGCGTTGTCAAACTGTGAGTCAACTGCAATAATACGTTCTACTTGTCCGGAATTAGTAGCATTTACATATAACATGTAATAGCCTTACATTTTCAATGAGTGCGAATATCCCTCGAGGGAGGATATGCGTCTTAAGTCAGTCAGGCAAATGCATTAGAACTAATGGACCCCATATATTGCAACAAATTGGGCACGTGACTATGGATAAGCGTGGACAAATTAAGGCTGTTCGGTCTGGGAATGGGACAAAGATGGCTAGAGAAGCAATGCTTGTACTGGTGTGGGATCAAATTCCGATAACACGAAGGGAATTCCCATTTGACAGACCTACAGCAACCTCTCCATGAGAATCGGTTAGTATTTCATTGGAGTAATGAAAAGGCGCGTCAAAGGGGGCATTTTAGACAATCATTGACGAAAAAGAAAAAGATCAACATGAATTCTTTGAAAGGTCTTAGGAAGAAGTTAAGAGAAGAAAACTCAGAGAAACGCAGAAATCCAGGAAACATGCTTCAAACAGCAGGTAGTTTCAAATGCCACGAAAATCAATGCTCCCTAATTGTATGAGTTCACATGCGACCAGTGAGACATAAGTTATAAGTCCGTTTGAGATTGATGGGCGAGGTTGGAATAGGGTCCAAATGGAAATGACTTCCCATGTTAACAATCGCATAATGTTCAGACAAAAGTAGAGCCCTTGCAGTAAAGAATAGAAAACGGATAACAAATAACTTATGATACGGCGGTTCACGCTCGTTTCATCTGCAGATCGCACCTTAGACACCTATCGGGATGTCCGAAGAGCCTATTAGGTGGCAAGAAACGGCATAGAGAATGGCCTCTAGCTCCGCTGAAGCGGGATTACTGTCCCGGCGTTCGGGTTGCATTATAATATAACGAAAGTTAGTGCCTGTTGTTGACTTTAGTGGGCTGGCCTGAGAAAAAAGACGCGGACTAAAAGCCAACCGAAATCACTTTCTCAATGCTGTCGAGGTTCTGATCAGGCTTAATTCGACTAGACTTTACGGTAACATGGAGCATTCTCTCTCTTCATAAGAAGATGTGGTCACTAGAACAAGAAGTTTATTTGCCTCACGTCTCCTATTGTCACTCGAATAGATCATCAGAGACGGTAGCAGATAAGCTTAGTGTAGGAACAAAGACTGCAGTATTTCCGGTACGTAGCTGCCGTGGAACCTCAAGCATACTGGAATTAGCAGCTCTCGCGATCACCTCTGACGGTCGTAAATGAGGTGATGATGACTAGTCAGCCCGTGTCTGAGTCGTTAAATGCTGCAATTTCATAATCCATGTTGCATATTGGCGTGATGACGATTCGGCCATTTGGGTCGCAGTCACTGAGATTAGCGCTCGCCGGTGCCCCCCCCCCACCCACGCGACTAATTCCCCTCCGAAGGAATGTCTCAGCACCGAA